CAAGCTTGGTCCACTTTGATGGCGTCCCTTTTCGTTTCAGGGGAGGGTCCAATCCTAATTGAGTGACACTAACCTAATCTTAGATTATAATATTAATTTGGTTTCAAGGAATGAACTAAAAAGCCATCCCAAACTTGGAGTTCTAACCTCATACAGGCGGATGACATTAGGATGCCTTATCAATTTCATGGTGGCGATTTCACGTTTAATCTGTCACCCAAAAAAAAAGGAAAAGAAACAGTACAAATATGAGTGTTAAAATAGCTAGAAACCCAAACCATGCATCTTGCTACAGCATATCTGCATAGGCATCCATAACAAAGGAAAAGTAAACAATAAGATTGGCCTGATAAAGAAAACAAGATGGTCCACCAAACAGTAGGAAGATGATACAAAACAAGCCCAACAAATTCTTTGCACAATATATATATCACCAAGATCACAAAATCCATAACTCAACTAAACATACTGGAGAAAATCATTAATCTCAAAAAACAAAATTCAGAAACAACAAAAGAGAAGATAACCTTCAATCAAGACTACAAAGAGAAACCATAACTAAATGATACAAAAAAAAAAAAAAAAAAAAAAAAAAAAAAGGAATAATATTTCAAAAGTCAACCAACTTTTGCAGACAAAGCTTAAGGAGAAAGTTCAAACCAGAGTTCTTTTCACTAGTAAATATTTTAACCAGCAAATTACATGAACATGATCCCATCAAATGAGGATAAAGAGAACCATGGAAAAGATAACAAATATAGTTCAACTAAAAAGTTCCAGGGGACATCATACCTTTACTCAGCTGACCTTAAACACTGACAAAGGTAAGGTAATTTTTTAAAAACTCCACATCCAATTGCAGAAACACATATATATATTTATAAATGAGTAGATACCTGACCAATCATCTTGTGTTTGAGAACCTTCTCCTTATCAAGAATCTTGATTGCCACATTCTCCCCAGTTACCACATTCCTGGCAAACTTCACTTTTGCAAAAGACCCCTCTCCCAAAGTCCTTCCCAATTCATACCTTCCCACTCTTGTTTTCCCACCCCCACCACTTGATGTGGTAGCCATCTCAATTCTCAACACGGGCCTATACCTCTTCTCTCTAAATATTTATATTTATGGGCACAGAAATATAGTATTTGTTTGAGGCTTTATGCTCTGATCAACTCAATACAAATCCCATCCATCTTGACCTCTTTTTTCAAAAAAAAAAAAAAAAAAAATGCAATCTTCAATAATTCTAAACTAAAACCTCTTCTTCTTACAGGGTTGCCATACTTGTGACTTTGCAACATTCATCTTCACAGAATATTCTTATTAAACCAAACGAAAACAAATAATAAAATAACCCAAAAAAAAAAAGGTGGAAAAAACAAATCAGATCAACAAGTGCGTGCGAAACAAGGACAAAAAGGAACGATGGAGAAACCGAAACGCGATATAGGACGGAAAGAAAAGGCAGAGGCCATAAATACAAGAAAAGAAAAGTAAGAATATTCCAAAAACTGATAAAAGAAGACTTCTACAAGATTCTTGAAAAATCAAATCGGCTGCAAATAAAACTCTTCCTTTTTTACACGCTATATGAACTACGGAAAATTCAAAAAGGAAATGACTTATTTTTTCTGGAAAATGGGTTATGGGTAAAAGTGTAAAACAAGGCCGAAAGCAGAATTCTTGATTGTTTATGATTAAAGACGATCGATGAAGGGGAAGAAGAATGAAGAATGAAGAATGAAGAATGAAGAATGAAGAATGTAATCAAACAGATGCCCGCTAAAGTGCTGAAATTTATATAGGAGGGGGATGGATTGGATCATAGTGGGAGGAGAAAAGCAACATTGTAACGAGTCAACCTAGGATTCTTGAACTCGGTAACGACAGATTTGAGATTTGCTGATCACGGGATGTAACACGGCGTCGTATGGGATTGTTGAACTCAGTCAATTTCTGGCTGCCACAGAACAGAAGCCGCCCAGCAAAATTTGTTTTCCTTTTTTATTTTAGGTAGAATTAGTATGTTTATATTTAAATAAGTATTTCAAAGTATATTAATATAACTAGTATTTGTCCCGTGTGATTTACGGAATAAATTTATTGTAATATATTAAGAATATTTGAATTAATATATAATTATTTAAATTAGAACATCAAATATTATATAGTGCAATTGAAGATACGGCTTGGATCATTTATGTGGTTTGATGTTATTATTGTTTGAATTTAAGCAAATAATTGCTCAAATTAATAGCTAATGAATAAATGTACGCATGCGGTGCTGTAACTTTGCAGATTTTATTTATCATTGTTTAGTTTTTTTTTAATAAATTAGGCAAATATGTTTGTTCTCTAGCAACTCAGTTATATGAATGAATTGTTATCTTAATTCATTTGTATGAAAGATATATATATATTTTTTTTTGTCTAGATATATAGCAATTTTGTCATTTAAAAAAACATAATATCAATGATTTTATTTACACATTATTGAAACCTCTTTCTACACGACATTGGTAGTTTCCCTTCCATTTTTAATTACAATGCAATGATCTAACCATTTATTTTTTTCATATTAGTCAATTATGGATCATTTTTTATTTGCAGTCAACTATTAATATTCATTTCCTTTTATATTTTCAGTCAATTAGTAATATCATTATTTATTTTCAATCAATTAGTCAATTAAAATATCAGATGCAGTGATATTTTTACCCAATTTTCATTTCATTTTTAATTGATGATTTAGATTATTATTATTGAAATATATCCATTTAATTTTTAATTTTCATTGCATTTTTTATTTACCTTTACTATTGTTTAAAATATGCATTTACTATTGATGATGTAGAATATTATTATTGAAATTTTTCCTTTTCAATTTTAATTTACCTTTACTTGATGATGTAGAATATTATTATTATTGAAATATTTCCATTCTATTGTTTAAAATTGTGAAAAATTTATGACATAATTGTGATTTGATGTATTATACTTTGTAATATTATTGTGAAAAATTAAAATGTAATTATCTGACCATTTTCTTTTATATTTTAGTCAATTATGAATTATTTTTTATTTTCAGACAATTATTAATATTTACTTCCTTTTTCAATTAACCTAATTTTTGTTCATTTTTCTATATTTAATTTTCTGTCAATTATTAATATTCATTTCTTTTTACAATTTACCTAATTTTCATTCCATTTTAATTGATGATATAGAATATTATTGTGAAATATTTTTGTTCCTTTTTTTCATCTTTTTTTTTTTAAATTTACCTTTACTATTTACTATTGTTTGGGCAGAAAATTAAGTACATAAGATTTTGTTTTTAATTATAGTTAATTTTTTTCTTTATTATTGTTTAGGCGGGAAAGTAAGAAAGGAGAATTTTGTTTTTAATAATAGTATAGATTTAGAATCCTTTTATATTTTCCTATTTAACTGATTATTATTAGTATTAATCACTGAAATTCGTTTCTTTTTTCATTTTTAATGAATTAAGTATTCTTTTTTATTTTTCTATTTTAATTGTAATTTTTAATTTTATTGATTATTATTAGTATTAATTAATCAGTGAATTCCATTTTATTTTCTATTTTTCGTAAATTAAGAATTTTTTTATTTTTTAAATTTTTTGTTAGATTTTTTTTTTTACTGTTATCCTTATTATATGACCCCTTTTTCTTGAACAATCTTTCGTTTCCTTTTTTCATTTTCATTGAATTAAGAATCTTTTTTTATTTTCCAATTTTACTGATTATTATTAGTATTAGTTAATTAGTGAGTTACATTTTCTTTTCTATTTCTCCTGAATTAAGAATCTTTTTTTATTTTTCTAATTTTTGGTAGGATTTTTTTTTCACTTTTATCCTTATTATGACCATTTTTTTTCACAACCTGCTGTTTCTTTTTTCCATTTTCATTTAATTAAGACTCATTTTTTATTTTCCTATTTTACCGATTACTATTAGTAATAATCAGTAAATTCTATTTATATTTTCATTTTAGTGAACTAAGGATCCTTTTTTATTTTTCTATTTTACTACAAACTTTTTTTACTGATTATTGTTAGTATTAATTAATTAGTGAATTCTATTTCTTTTCCTGTTTTGTGTGAATTAATAATTTTTTTTCTATTTTACTACTAACTTTTTTACTAATTATGATTATTATTATTATTAATTGATAATTTTTTTTCCTTTTTTATTGTTTGGGTGGGAAAGTAAGAAATGAGGATATTATTTTTAATAATAGTATAGATCTTTTGTGAATTAAGGATCCCTAGCTTTTTATTTCCCTATTTTACTACTAACTTTTGTACTGATTATTATTAGCATTAATTAATCAGTGCATTCCATTTCCTTTTCTATTTTTCTTGAGTTAAGAATTTCTTTTTATTTTTCTAATTTTTGGTAGGATTTTTTTTATTGTTATCCTTATTATGACCCCTTTTTTTTTTTTACAATCTTCCATTTTTTTCCATTTTCTTAAATTAAGACTCCTTTTTTTATTTTTCCTATATTACTGATTATTATTATTATTAGTAATAATCATTAAATTCTGTTTATGTTTCTATTTTTAGTAAATTAAGGATTTTTTTTCTATATTACAATAAACTTTTTTACTGATTATTGTTAGTATTAATTAATTAGTGAATTCCGTTTCTTTTTCTATTTTTCATGAATTAAGGATTTTTTTAATTATTTTTCTATTTTACTACTAACTTTTTTACTAATTATTATTAGTATTAATAATTGGTAATTTTTTTCCCTTTTTTATTGTTTGGGCGGAAAAGTAAGAAAGGAAAATTTGTTTTTAATAATAATATAGAAGTATATATATTTATATTGATAGATTTATACTTTAAAAATATAGAAATTAAAAAAGTAGCATTTAAATTTTGTATGATTAGTATAGTGCAAAGTGTATGTATCTATGTATTTAAAATGTTTATATTTTGTTAATTTTATAATTTCACAGGGCGTTTGGTTGGAGAGGAGGAATTATGTGGGAAAGGAATTGTAATTCCATGGGAGTTGAATTACTGGGAATAAAGTGGGAATTTAAATTCCAGTGTTTGGTTGACAGGAATAAAATTACTGGGAATTTCAATTCCAATGTTTGGTATACATGGAAATTGAAAGGGAATAAGTAGTATAAAGTCAAAAATTTCCATTATTGTTATTAGACATTAATTTTAGGTTAAAAAAGGAAAGGGTAATTTTGACTCATCACTATCTTTTTTTCCCAGGAATTAAAATCCCGGGGGGGGGGGGGGGGGGGGAGGGAGAGGGGGGACATGGGATTTTAATTCCATGAAAATGAAGGAATTGCAATTCCCTCCAACCAAACTACGGAATTTAATGGCCTTTGGAATTATGTGGGAATTAAGTGGGAAAGGAATTTAAAATCCCTCCAACCAAACGCCCTGTCATTTCCTTAATTATATTTCATATTTTATTAATTATAATTTAATGAAATTACCACAAATATTTTCACGGAAGAAATGTTATATTTATCAATTTCATTAACTATATTAATTATAATTACCAAATATTGTGATAATTATCATAATAATTTCATTAATTATATTAATTATAGTATTTGTTCTCTTTCAATATTTAAATACATTACCACAGTAATGACACAAAAGAAGGAAATAAAAATTATTAGAATAATAGCCATTAATAAAAATTAGGAAATTATATTAAAAATTAATTCTATATTAAGGTAAGTATAATTATTAGACAATAATATTAATAATTAATTATTAAGGTAAGTATAATTTATTTTGTACTAATTTTAACTCTATATTGATAAGCATAGTCTGTGTATATATTTTAAGAAAATATTCACTATTCAAAAGTTTATATAATTTAAATAGTAAATTATTAATTACATTACTTAATATAATTATCCTACCAATTAATTCCATATTATTACGTATAATTTATACATTTGAAGACTTTTTAAAACTATTAATTGCCTTAATAATTAAGATAATTTTATTGACATCAATAGTACTAAAAGTATTAGTTTGAATTTTTATAAATAAAATATAATATTATTAAATTAAAATAATTAAGAATAATGTGTCCATAGTATAAAATATTTTATAATAGTAATTTAGGGGCAATTTTGTTTTTCAGTTTCAAGTTAAATTAAAGTTTGATTTTTTTTTTCCAGAAATCGATATGTTTACATTTAAAAAAATAAAATAAAATAAAGTTTGTGACTTTAGCTGATTCGATTTTGCTCTAATTCGATTTGAAAAAAAAAATTAAATAATATTTGTTAGTTCAGATCCGTGACTTAGTCCTCGATATCTATCCTTAACTTCTGTGTTTTTGGTGTTGAAATCAGGATTTTGTTTCGTTTTTCGTATACATCTTGTAATTATCGAGGAATAAAGAGAGAGAGAGAGAGAGAGAGAAAAAAAAAAGAATCACTTTCCGGTTCAGCAAAGCGCTTCGTTTCCTGTGAGGAGGAGAAGAGTTTGATTTCTGATAAGAAAAACGTTGGCCCTTCGTTGTTGCCGGAAAATTATGAAATCAGCTTTGTAGCCAATGTTTCCCGAGTCTCCATCAATGCCCGATCCGTTGGATGCAGAGGCACTAAAAACACTTCAAGCGACAATTGCAAAATAATAATAATAATAATAATAATAATAATAATAATAATAATAATAATAATAATAATAATAATAATAATCATCATCATCTTGAAACCTGTAAAAAAAATAAAAAATACTTACGTATTCATGAGTGCAACACCAAGATATGGTTCCACAGAGAGAATAGGAAGAAGAGGGAAATAATGCAAAATGAAAAATTGTAATTTCCAAACTCACCAA